ATGATTTGGTAAAATACTATATATCCAGACATAGTGGGATATTACTCTGCCATAAAAAGAGATGGAGAGCTGACATGTCTGCTGCAGCATAAATAAACCTTGAAAACATCCTATATGAAAGAAGCCAGTGACAAAGGCCACATATTACATGATTCCATTTCTAAGAAATGTCTAGAAAATAGATCTATAGAGGCAAAGTAGACTAGTGATAGCCAGGAGCTGGGTGGGGGGAGGGGAGGAATGGAAATGGGTATGGAGTTTTGAGGGCAGGTGTTGAAAATATTCTAAAATTTATTATGGTGATGGTTGTACAACTCTGAATACAAAATCTAAACTTTACATATGTGAATGGTATGCAAATAACATTTTTAAAAATCAGTGACGTTTCAAAAATTCAAATATCCAAAGATTATAAACTTGTACCTGTTCATATAATGGATTTTTTTAGAAATTATACATGCCTCCGCTTTAAAATGTTTTAAACTATAAACAGAATGCTAATTTATTTGCTAAGTGGAAATGGTTGCTAGTCATCAGAATTTTCTGAGAGCCCCAATCTTTCTAGCATCTAGGTCTCTGAAGATAACTAGAAGGTATGTTGAGGGGGCTTATTTCCAGGCTCTCACGAAACCCAGTGACTTTTCCCTATGTCCAGATTATATGTGCTGGTGATGCATAATAAAGAATTTGTCAGTTGGGCGCAGTGGCTCACACCTGTAATCCCAACACTTTGGAAGGCCAAGGCGGGCAGATTACTTGAGGTTGGGAGTTCAAGACCAGCCTGACCAACATGGAGAAACCCTGTATCTACTAAAAATACAAAATTAGCTGGGCATGGTGGCACATCCCTATAATCTCAGCTGCTCAGGAGGCTGAGGCAGGAGAATTGCTTGAACCTGGGAGGCAGAGGTTGTGGTGAGTGAAGATAGCACCATTGCACTTCACTGTGGTCAACAAGAGAGAAACTCCTGTCTCAAAAAAGAAAAATAATTTGCCAGTTGAGTGTGGTGGCACATACCTGTAGTAGTCGCAACTTCTCAGGAAGCTGAGGCAGGAGAATCACTTGAGCCTAGGATTTTTGAGGATGCAGTGAGCTTTGATTGCACCCCTGCACTCCAGCCTGGGTGACAGAGGAAGACCCTGTCTCAAAAAAAAAATTGTTTGATCTTTTTTCCAGGTTCCTGGCACAGAGTTTCTAAAGACCCTGGAATTTGAGTAGTAGGCATGTCTTTATTATGCTAATGAAGTGAATTGCAGTGGGTCCCTAGATAGCTTCAAGATGGGAGCTGGTACCCCAGAGAGACCAAACCAAGTCCCATCACGGTTGGGACTTTGAGCTAGCCAGACCTCCAAAGGGTAGGAGAGAGGGTTGGAAATTGAGCTCTGTTGTGTGGCCTGTGATTTAGTCAGTCATATGTACATAATGAAACCGCAGTAAAATCTCTGGACACTGAAGCTCAGTGGAGCTACCAGGTTGAGAAATAGATGTGCTGGGAAGGAGATTGCCCCGATTTCAAGGAGAGGACACAGAAGCTGCATTACCTCCCAGACCTCACTCTAATGATAAAACTGGAATCCTAAGGAGAGCACTTACTTTCCTGAGTTCTGTGAGTCATTCTAGTGAACAAACCTGAGGGTGGAGGGGGGACCTCTGCAGTGGCATTCCTGTGGAAAACTGAGCCTGTAGCGCAGGGTGGTTGGTACCAGAATTGAATTGTATGCCCAGTGTGGTTGAGGCAGGATAACTAGACAGGGCTTATTTCTCCTTCCCTTGGGTGACATGGTAAGCCTTGCCAGATTTCTTGCCTGCCTGTTTTTTTGGTGTGTTTTTTTTTTGAGACCAGGTCTCGATTTGTCACCCAGGCTAGAGGGCAGTGGCGCCTCTTGGCTCACTGCAGCCTCAATTCCCCCACCTCAGCTTCTTGAATAGCTGGGATTACAGGGGTGCATCACCATGCTTGGCTATTTTTGCATTTTTAATAGAGACGGAGTTTCACCATGTTGGTCAGCTGGCCTTGAACTCCTGACCTCAGGTGTTCCACTTGCCTCGGCCTTCCAAAGTGCTGGGATTACAGGTGTGAGCCACCGCGCCTGGCCTTGGTTTTTTCTTTCGTAGAGTCCACATGAGTTAAAACTCATTTGTCAGAACATTTTTTGAGAGTAAAAGGCAATTGATTAGGTACCTAGTGTCTAGGTACCTGAGAGTAACTAGAATGATATGCTTCCATAAAGCCTAGTTGCATTATCATTCCAAAATGTTTCTAATTTGTATTTTTTCCCCCATACGAGTTTTATTTTTATGTTGTCAAATTTCTTGACTTTTATTTTCCTTTCTATAATGTGATTAATTAGATATTACCTGTACTACTTTTTTCAAATGGGGGTAGAAATTAGGACACTTGCCCAAAGTCACAGAGCAGGAAAGTGATCAGGCCAGGATTTGAGCCCTGTTGGATTCTCTAGCACAGCCCATATATATAACCACTCTGCTGCACTGTCTCCAGCTGGGTCTCTATCTCACACCCACTGTCTCCCTTATCAAAACTACGAGGAGAGAGAGAAGGAACAGAAATGAAGAGGGGTGCTGGGTGCGGTGGATCACTTGAGGTCAGTAGTTCGAAACCAGCCTGGCCAACATGGTGAAACTCCGTGTTTACTAAAAATACAAAAATAGCTGGGTATGGTGGCAGGCGCCTATAAATTCCAGCTACTCAGGAGGCTAAAGCAGGAGAATCACTTGAACCCTGCAGGCAGAGGTTGCAGTGAGCCAAGATTGCACCATTTCACTCTATCTTAGGCACAGAGTGAAACTCTGTCATTCATAAATAAATAAATAAAATATTGATGGTTCTTCATCATTTAAGTCCATGTTAGTTTCTTTTCTTTTTTTTGAGATGGAGTCTCATTCTGTCGCTCAGGGTGGAGTACAGTAATCTCAGATCACTGCAACCTCTGCCTCTCATGCTCAAGTGATCCTCCGGCCTCAGCCTTCTGAGTAGCTGGGACTGCAGGTGTGTGCCACCATGTCTGGCTAATTTCTTGTATTTTTAGTAGAGACAGGGTTTCACCATGTTGGCCAGGCTGGTCTTGAATTCCTGACCTGAAGTGAACCACTTGCCTTGGCCTCCCAAAGTGCTGGGATTGATGAAAGTTTTTAAACTAGGGGACATTAGTAATATGATAGGCACCATTTATGCTGTATTTGCTGTTTTCTGCTTATATCAAGTAGCACTGAGGCAGGCATGGCACATTGAACAGGTTCCATGAACACTATTCATGACTAAGTTAGGACGCCCCATTTAGAGCCCCATCAGCAAACTACATCTGAGTAACTAATTTAACTGCCATTTTACACCTGGGTAAGAGCAACAGTTTACAACTTATTATTTTCTAATTTTTTTTTTTTTTCTTAGTAGAGTGAAGAGGTGGTGGATAAAGTATCATATGATATATGTGAGACTAGTTTAAGTTTTTAAAAACTAGGTTCTTGGCAGAAGGATCTTGTTCAAGTATAAGGAGAACTCACTTCAGTGCTGGAAATAACTTGTTTACTTGTTTCTAATGGCCACTAGTATATGGCATCAGATTTGGGACATAGCTGTTAATTTGTGTATATATTTTATGAGCATAACTCTTTGTACCCATTATTTTCATTGTGTAATAGTTCTTTAGAAAGCAGATTTTAATAGTTTGTTCATATCTGCTATATATTTATTCTGTAACTTTTGTAAATTTAATTTACATTATTTTCCTACAAATTTAAAATCAAATGTTCAAAACAGTATTGTGGTAAGAATATCTTAAGATGACTTAAAAACACTGCTAAATAATTAAACTCTTTCTTAGCACTTTTTTTCAGACATCTCCAGTTTAATGTCAACTGCATGGGTCAGCAAACTACTGTGGCCCCAATCTGCCTACTTTTGTAAGCGAAACTTTATTGGAGTACAGCCACATTCATTGCATTTATGTTACTGTCAGCCCTGGTATAGAGGATTTTATCCCTTCATTCCTGCAAACACCTAGATCTCAAAGAATCGTTTCTCTTCTGTATCTTATTAAACTGGCCTGTGGGCTTTCTGTGTGTTTCATTTCCCTCTGTAGCAAACTGATTACCTCTTTGAGATTGGTCTTCATTTTCTTTTTCTGCAGCAGGATCGCAGTATGTGGTAGGGAATCTGAATGAAGGTGGCTGTCTGAAGGTGACATCCTGTTCTCCTCTCTTCTGTCCTCTCGATCCTTATTTTGGCCACCTGGTAATTGGGGGAAGGGGTGGAATGCTAGTCTAAATTATGAAATGAAGTTGCTTTAACTGTTTTCCCTTTACTTGAAAAAGGGGGCTAGGGTGATTCCTGCCTTGCAATTGAGAAATAAAAGTTACCTAGCTTTCAGCACAATCTGTTTTGGGGTCGTCAGAAAAAGTTGTGGAGCCACTCCCCAGGGAGGAAAAAAAGAATATATTCAGAAATATATTATTACAGAAAGCAATCTTTGATCAGTTTTTAAACATTTAAATATAAGTAAGCGACTTTACCAATGTATCCTAATACACTTGTTGACAGAAAAAAGAATATATTCAGAAATATATTATTACAGAAAGCAATCTTTGATCAGTTTTTAAACATTTAAATATAAGTAAGCGACTTTACCAATGTATCCTAATACACTTGTTGACAGCCACTTCTGATGTTAGAACTTTGAATATAAACAGTAGTGTTCCCAAGTTGTAAAAGGAAAGAGATTAAGCCCTTAATGTTGAAATGCGTGTCTGCCAAATCTTGCTTTGTGCTCAGCAGTAGAGCTATGAAATTCCATTGATCAGAGTGCTTGTTTCTGGCCTTGTCCTTTTTCACTTTTGCACGAGCCCTTCCATTTGAGCAGTGTGTCCTAAACTTTATTCATTGAGTGCTATCTTCATGAGTTTGCCTTCTCTGCACATTTCCTAATATAATATTCTTTAAATGAACTCAGTTTTGAAAATATAACATATTTTTAATTTTTAAAATACGGAACGACTTACAAATTTGCATGTCATCCTTGCACAAGGGCTGTGCTAATCTCTGTATCGTTCCACTGTTAGTAGATGTGCTGCCAAAGTGAGCACTTAATCTTTTGTAAAGACTTGTTACCCAAGCTGGTCCAAATTCCTGGGCTCAGGCAATCCTCCCATCTCAGCCTCTCAAAGTGCTGGGATTATAGGTGTGAGCCGTCAACTCACTTTTTACAACTTTAGCAAATTACTGTCTGTGAAATATCGGTTTCATGTATTAATTCTTTTATATTTGCCACTTAAAGGAGCATGTAAATATTGGGTGTTTGGTTTACCTGAAACCATCTTTTTTTACATCTTTTTAGAGGGCATCAAGTTCATTTTGGGAAACATTCCCTTATGTGCTGGAATTTTAGAGCCTTGATTTTGAACCAGAGTTGAATGGTAGATGGTGGAAGCTGCTTTAACTTGGAAGTACTAAAAGAAAGGAGGAGTCATGGGATGGGTGGATGCTGGCTGCTAAAATACCCCTTGCTTGGGCAAATTTATGTGTCCTGAAAATGAGGATATTTGGCTATGTGCATGGCAAAGCTTGGGATCATAGCCTTGCAAGAACAATTGGTTGTTTTTTAACCTGGCCAAACATGCATGCACACACACAGGTACGCATATCATATGTTTCATTTTCTTTTACAGGTTTGATCTTGCTCTTCTACCTAGTTTTTTATGGGTTCCTGGCTGCACTCTTCTCATTCACGATGTGGGTTATGCTTCAGACTCTCAACGATGAGGTTCCAAAATATCGTGACCAGATTCCTAGCCCAGGTAATTATCTTGCAGTTAAGACTTTTTTTTTTTTTAGGTGGAGTTTCACTCTTGTTGCCCAGGCTGGATTGCAATGGAGTGATCTCAGCTCAGTGTAACCTCTGCTTCCCATGTTCAAGCGATTCTCTGCCTCAGCCTCCCAAATAGCTGGGATTACAGGCATGCACCACCACACTCGGCTAATTTTGTATTTTTATTAGAGACAGGGGTTCTCCATGTTGGTTGGGCTGGCCTCAAACTCCCCTCGACCTCAGGTGATCTTCCTGCCTCTGCCTCCCAAAGCATTGGGATTACAGGCGTGAGCTATCGCACCCTGCAGCAGTTATGACTTTTAACAAAATTGAGTTATAGTTTATCGTCACCATAAATCTGTTCTATATAGCAGATAGAAGACAGCTAAACCTTGGAGTTGAGTAATATGAAGGTTTTAATTTTTTTGTTTGATATTTGCATAGTGATTTAAAGACCTTTACTTTCATATACTGATAAATTTTGAGAGTTCGAGTGGCTTGTTTTGGTTTAGTGTTTTTTTGTTTGTTTGTTTTGGTTTTTTCTCAGAAGTAAGCAGAAATGAATATTGCAAATTCTAGTAAAAGCCAAGTTTGAAGAACACAGTTAAAGTTCCATTGACTTTTATGAGTATCGTAGAGCAGTTTTACTTTGCTTTGAGTAATTAAGGATATATTTTGGCACTAGCTTGGGTTAGTAGAGCTTTAGGCTTATAAAATACATACTTTGTGGTTCTAATTGGTCAGTAGTGAAACTGGTAAGATGTTTAAAAACAATACCTCATAGAGAACAAAATCCATATACTCTTCAAATGTTTAATTCCTCTTGATATTCTTCTGGAAAAGAAATTCATTATAGAGGAGAATATATGCAGTAAAAAACTGAAACATTTAAACCACATTTTCTACCTCCTGGTTTTATTTTTTTTTTAACTGTCCTTTTTTTATTTATCAATTTTTTTTTGAGACAGAGTTTTGCTCTTGTTGCCTAGGCAATGACACAATCTTGCCTTACTGCAACCTCTGCTCCCGGGTTAAATGGTTCTCCTGCCTCAGCCCCCCTAGTAACTGGGATTACAAGCATGTGCCACCATGCCCAGCTAAGTTTTCGTATTTTTAGTAGAGGCGGGGTTTCACCATGTTGGTTGGGCTGGTCTCGAACTCCCCACGACCTCAGGTGATCTGCCCGCCTCCACCTCCCAAAGTGCTGGGATTACAGGCGCGAGCCACTGCACCAAGCCCAAGGTTATTATTCTTTACCTGCTCTTTAAGTGAGGTGACTTACCATTGAACATGGTCTGATCTATTTCAAAAACACTGAACACTATGAATATTGCATGAAATATATGAGCAGTAATGTGTTAAATATTTTTAAGTACACAGTTTTAAACATGAAATATATAAGCAGTAATGTGTTAAATATTTTTAAGTACACAGTTTTAAACAGTTTGTTAAAATTATTTGTCGTTTATTTAAGTTTAGTTTAAGTATACATACATATACATATGCTACATATATGTTACATATGGGATATATTAAACATTCCCATATTTAATATATCACATATGTACATGTAACACATATTTAATATGTATATGTGTTGTATATTAAATACATATAGCACATATTATATGTACATGTGTGATATATTAAATATGGGAATGTTTAACATATCCCTTATATAACATGTTAAATATAAGAATGCTTGAGGATTAGCAAAAATTTTGGAATTGTTTTAAAGCCTTTGTGCAAGGTTGAATTAATAATCTAGATCTAATGCTTTTTTTGGTGGGTTTTTGTTTATTTGTTTGGTTTTGAGACGGAGTCTCGCTCTGTTGCCCAGCCTGGAGTGCAATGGCATGATCTCTCCTCACTGCAACCTCTGCCTCCCGGGTTCAAGCCATTCTCCTACCTCAGCCTCCCAAGTAGCTGGGACTACAGGCATGTACCACCATGCCCACCTAATTATTGTATTTTTAGTAGAGATGAAGTTTCACCATATTGGCTAGGTTGCTCTCAAACTCCTGACCTCAAGTGATCCGCCTGCCTTGACCTCCCAAAGTGCTGGAATTACAGGCATGAGAGCCACTGCACCCAGCCAATCTAATGCTTTTTAAACAAGGAAAGGTTATATTGAAGTTGGAAGCCTGATTGTTTCTTAGAGATAAATCTGCTTGCCTTTTCTTCATTAGTAAGCTTTAGGAACATGTTTTATATCACGTGGGTGTCAACTTCGGACAGGAAATTGTTGATGGTTATACTCCACATCCAGTATGTGAAAACCACATTTTAACTACAGAGCAATATCTGCTATTGAAGGACGAATATTTGCCCTAAAGTTTAAAATACATAGACCTTTGTCATTGAAAAAGAGTTAGCTGTCTTAGGAATGTTTCCATACAGTTGCAATTTAAATGACAAAAGTACTTAGGCTTTGATTTGCTAAAGTTTTTATCCTTGTATTAATGGTACATTAGCAAAACCTAAAAGTGTTATTTGATTTTTAAAAAATGAATATAGAGAGATCAAAGTAAAATTGCATCTTTTAAAAAGGAACAGATTATAATTAACTGTAGATAATCAAATTTAGGGAAGGTTTCTTTTTTTTTTTGGGACGGAGTGTTGCTCTTGTTACCCAGGCTGGAGTGCAATGGCGTGATCTCGGCTCACCGCAACCTCCGCCTCCTGGGTTCAGGCAATTCTCCTGCCTCAGCCTCCTGAGTAGCTGGGATTACAGGCACGCGCCACCGCGCCCAGCTAATTTTCTGTATTTTTAGTAGAGACGGGGTTTCACCTTGTTGACCAGGATGGTCTCGATCTCTTGACCTCGTGATCCACCCACCTCGCCCTCCCGAAGTTCTGGGATTACAGGCTTGAGCCACCACGCCCGGCCGGGAAGGTTTCTAATCGATAATGTCTGAGATAGTTTTGAAGGTTTGAATTTAATTTAGATGTCTATGCCTTCATAATTAGAATTGAGAAGCTATTGATAGTTTCAACATACTGTGAACACAATTTTCCATGTAATTTGCTGAGATTTGCTTTTTAGAGATAAGAGTAAGGAAAAGGAGAGAAGGAAATTTGATAATCTCCCTCCTTTATCTCTTTATAGGACTTATGGTTTTTCCAAAACCAGTGACTGCATTGGAATACACATTCAGTGTGTCTGACCCAACTTCCTATGCAGGGTACATTGCAGACCTTAAGAAGTTTCTAAAACGTGAGTATGTTGTTTCAGAGTAAGGTCAAAGATTTTAGTTATAGAAATTAGTACCAAATTGTGATTACATTTGGAGACATCATTCTTAGAATTTGTATTACCTTTTGTTTCCTTCTATTAAACAGACAACTGAGCAAGTACATTTTATATACTTGTGAGACTATTCTAACTTATGGAAGGATGCAGGGACCAACTAATGGGCAGTAGATTTGATTTTTCTGTCTTATATAAGTACACTAAGTTCTTTGAGATGTAATATTTATTCTGCATTAAAACTAAATATTTTAGTTAACAGAGCAAATCTATATTGTGTAAAACAACTCCTCTGAGAACTTGGATCTTTTACATTCAATGTAGTGTTTCGTTGGGGGTGGGAAATTGTGTTTGTTATTTTAAAGTTATGTCTGTGTATGATTTTTAATACATCAGTTGTTTTTCAAAGTTACCAGTTTGTACTGCTCTTCGAGAGCCACCTAGCCCAGTTTTTCCTCCTGTTTTGCTTGGCTCAACCATTTATGTAAATGGTGTTAGCAGTCACATGAGTAATCATCAAATGCCCGAGCCTGTGGTTCATGATCAGCTCATCTCTTCCTCAGCCACACACACCTGCAGCTGCTCCCTAGAACATTACTTCTTCTCATCTCCCATTCTGCTTTCCCTTTTACGTAGTTTAATTCCATGGTTTTTATTTCACTTTGACTTACTTATACTGGTGCTCTAAAATCCTAGCCCTTTCAGTCTTTGTGTCACACACTGTGGCAGAACCCCACTCCTGGATAAAGCCATATAATTACTAGATGTAGCTCATCCTGTGCCCCTGCGCCTGAGCAGCCAGGTGCTGCTCTCGACAGCTACAGAGCAGGACTAATAGCACTGTGAGCACTTGAGCACTTCACTCAAATGGGCTTGCTTAACTGCCTGGTAATCCTATGGAATTTCTCTGGATAATTCTCTGAAGGGATAATTTCCAACTTTCACTCACCCCTTACCTTTTTCCTTATAACTCAACTCTCTTCATATAACCTGATTTCTTATTTTAAGAGATAATAGAAGAACTCAAA